TTGCTGGTGGGTCGAATGAATGACATTGGCGTAGGTTCGAAAGCGCTCCGCGACACAGCTTACCGCCAAACGAGAACGCAGTGGCCCGTATATCCACCGTCGAGCGGACAGGAGTCCCCCAGGATCCTCTGCGGGAGTGGGAGCGCTGGTGCAGGGTATGGTGTGCGGTAGGGGAACAAAGAAAGTGCTGTGCGCGGCCCGTCGTTGTCGTCGGGGCTGCGGCGCATGAGTCGGTGGCTCAACCACCACCGTGTCATCGTCTTTGAAAGGGCGGCGCCGGCGCGGGCGCGGGGCGATGGGAGGGGAGGGGAGAAGCAGGGAGAAGCGCATCAGGGAAAACCCTGTATGCCAAGAAAATTTGAGCCGTGGTAAGACAATTCATGCTCTGTGTCATTGAGCTGGTAAGTCAATGCAGCGGCTGCGGCGCAAGAACACCATGATTCATAAGCCGCAGCTGGCGCGTGCGCGTAAGAAACGCACCCCTTCAAACCCGGGATTTCAAGCTCGAATTATCCCGTGCCCCAGTCTCCACCATTGCCACCTGCGCGCTGATACACCACCAAATCCAGAAATGTGTATTATGGCGTCGATGTGCGCGAGGAGGCCGACGTGGAAGTCGCCGTCGCCGCAGCCAAGGTCGCAAACGACGGACAGGGTGGCCGGCGCAAGTCAGAGCGTGCATAAGGTCACGTGACTGCCACGTCGCTGCGAAAGAACATACGCGAATTCGGCGAGAAGGAGCGAGGAAGCTCCCAGGGAGGGAGGGAGGGGGAGGGGGGCATGTAGGGGTAGGGGCCGGTCGTGTGGATAGAGAATCTGGAGGAGAGGAAGAGGCAGTAGAGGGAGGGGAGCGTGGAGCGGGTAAATGTGAGAGTAGTGGCAAGTGTCGATGGGATGAAGTATCCGGGGAGAAGAATGAGAGGGTGAGAAGAGGGAGGAGGACGGGGAGGAGATGTATGTACGCGGGGAGAAAGATGAGGGAGAGAAGAGAGAGGAGGGGGAGGGGAGGGAGACAAGACAAGTACAGCCGTCAGTATATTCCCGCAGCTCGCATGCGAGGCGACTTACACGATTACTAGTTAGATCCCATCCCCCGCCTGTGGTACTCTTCGTAACGATTGAGCTGGCCTCGAATGCCCACTTGTAGCGCTACGGCGCGGGCGTGCGCTGCATCGAGCTCGGATGAAAAGATCGGGCGTCGCGGCGGCCGCGCTAAACGTCTTCTGGCTCGAGGTCGGGAAGAATGGCGCTGGAGCCGGTGCGTCGTCGCGCGGGCCGAGCACTGCCGCGGAGTGGGCGCTCCTGCTCGCGGGCCCGCCAGCTCTCGCGACTTTCCATGGGGTACGGCGGCTCTTCTACGAGGTGTCTGAGGATGCGGGCCACAGTCGCGTGAGAGATGGCGACGCCCCGGAGTCACGCCCGCGTGTGAAGAGTGTTGCGTGCGCCTGCGGTTTCGAATGGCGTAGAGCGCGGGAGGTGACAGCGCGATGGGATTCTGAGGGAATCGACGATATACCCGCCCCCGCAATCGAGCACGCCCCGTGCTCCGCCCACTCATCACGCCGTCCAGCAATAGTGCCACCCGCGAGCCATCCTGCTCCTCCCACTTTCATTCATCCTCCTCCCCTTCTCGCGCCGACGCATATCCGCCGAGACCTAGCAGAGGACGCGCGGCCGCGGACACCCAGTAGCGGCGGGCGGGCAAACGGAGAGGGTGCTGACGTTGATACGATATGATGCTGGGGTAAGGAAGTGAACCATCTGAGTAGTGAGAGTAGGTAGGAATGAATGAATGAAGCTGCGCCGGAGGAGGAGGAAGGAGGAGGGGGTAGTACGGAGTGGTGGAGGCGCGACATCGCGTAGCGTGTGCCGTGTTGACGCGCGAATAGGTGGTTAACGGTGCCACGAGGATCCAGATATGCGTTGCGTTGTTCTCCCGCCCCGCTTCCCGGAACCGCAGCACACATGACGCTGAGCGGAGCGAAGGAAGGGAAAGATCCTCTCATGTTGATACGCCCGAGAACGGCAGCTGGAGGGCGCTCAAGCTGGCGTATGCGTACGGCGTGGAGTCGCAGGCTGCTGACTCGTCCATACCGCCATGCCGGGGAGCGTGCGTGCGTAGTCGTGACAGCTACCGTCTGCGGAGCCGTCCTCCCGGTGCAGGGAGAGTCGCCATGCGTTCCAGAATGCAGGATCTGCGCGCGGGCGCATCCTCACACCGGTAGTGGGTATCGTGGGTGACGCCGTCATCAAAGATCGGTGCGCGCGGGGCGTGGGGCTGAGGAGAGTTTAGTGAACGTATACGGGGAGGGAGGGGAGCGAAGCGGAGGCGGAGGCTAAGGAAAGGCGGGAAGGGCGAAGGTATACGTACCGGTGTGCCCGCCTTGTCCTGTTCTTCCATCCTGTCACCGTGTACTACGAAGGCCCCGTGATAATGGGCACTGGAAGGGGTGTCAGTAAGCGGCCAGAGCAGATACGGCGGGCAAAGGGGGAGGGGGGGGGGGGGCGGTTTGGATAGTGGATTGGGATATGGGACGGAGTGGATGTGAAGGGCGGAGAAAAAGGATACAATACGCACCGTTGAGCATCTACATTATTGCTAAGTCCTGTCCATCATAGGCGTGAGCCGCGACGCGCCCGGTACCATATCCAGACTCGGGCGCCTGCTCTAGTAGGTTAGCCTCGACGAGATGATGTTATACTTATAGGAAAGGCGCACAAATCAGAGGGGATGAGGGAGTGTAATGTGCCGCGGATGTAACTTTACTCGCGGGATGCAGACGATGTGGGTGCGCTCCGGCGTCTGCTGGAGGAGCGGGTGCGGGATCCGCGGCGTGGGAGCGCAGATGCTGGGTTTGGCGTGCGGGAGGGCAGCACAGTGCTGTGCGCGGTCCGTCGTTGTCGTCGGGGCCGCAGCGCATAAATGAGTGCGGTGGCGCAGGCGCGGGGCGGGAGAAGGCAGTGGAAGGGGAGAGAGAAAGAGGCAGGCGGCGTCGTGGCACACGTTGGTGTGGATGGTCAGAACGAAGCATCGGATCACCGGCCCGCGACACGTAACTCTTCCTCTGCTTCCATGAGTCGCAAATCTCGCGCTGGCATCGATATCCTCGACCCTCCTGCTAGGTCTCTGAACTCCGCCCCCCTCCACTCTCGCGCACTTCGAATTCCTCTCATCTCATCTCACGGCTCGACATTGGCATCCCGCGACCAATATATCTTGGTTCGACTGGCCTTGCGACACTGGTATTTCTCCAACCTAATTGTATCTTCAGTCTGCCTTCTCACGCGTTGAGTTAGCGGCCTACCCGCTCCTTCTCCTCCACGACCGTTGTCCGAATGTTCCAGGTTATTGCCGCTCGCAAGCTATTTGAGTAACGAAAACTGGCGCTTACGCGCACAACCCGAAACAAGGTCATTTCTTGAAGAAGAGAACAACTTATGCGTCGGCACGGTACGTGTCATCTATTTCCTTTGTTCTATTTTCATCGAGATTATCTCTGTTTCGTTATATCGCCCGGAGGGTGTGCCCGACTGGCTATATGTGCTGTTCATTTGGGTACCCAAATTAACGGTCCACCCATAGGTATGACCCAAGGTAAAATTTACTGTGGCTCATGGTTTTATTTTTCTCAAATGAGAAAGTATATACATATTACAGGGTAAATATCAATCTGGAGTGGAGAGCATACTTCAGATATAGGTACATACTAGGGAAGAAACTTCGATTCAGAAAATCTCGCAGCGTAACGTGGCCTGACTGAAATTTACAACGCACAAGCAAAGAGCACCACGGAAAGGATGCCCCCCATGCGTAGGCAAAATCCCACTGTGGATATTGACGGCCGAGTCTACCTCAGTCAGAACACCTCGAGGAACCCTGGTTTACAGGTTAGCACAAAGAGAGTTACAACCACAGTAGGTTGAACACGCACTTCACGAATACATCGGCCCGGCCGTTATGGTTCTTGGGGTTCCTAGTTGGCAGGTTCCTGTCAGTGGCATTGACTAGAAACCCCACCGACGTTTGAGATTGTTTATAGAACACATTGTGAAGGGTGGGGATGATGATGGCCAGACGAGCAAGTGCGGCATAGACGTCAATCTCGCGGATGATGAAAGTATATTCCCCAGCGAGGTAAATCCTATGGTCGAGTGTAAACCTGCCATTATTTTTTGTTGAGAGGATGTAAAATGTGTTTGCACAAATGGGCTGGCGGTGTAATGCCCTTTCAGTTTGCGTTCCGATTGTTCAAGAGAATGCCGCTGAACATATATGTTTTTGGCATTAGGTACCCTAATGGTGTCTGTCCGCATCGCTTTCGTTTCCTTTTTGGGCCCATCCCCAAATTCAGAGTCTGCTCGCCAACTAAAGGAACGCACCGCGGAAATAATTAGAGGACGAGCAGATGCTCGTCCCGAGGTGGTGCAACCTCGCACGAAATCACCTGCTATGTTGCGTGCGATGGTATTGCACAGGATTTGCGTTGCAGATTAACAGTCAGTGGACTCGGGATGAATTTCATCGCTGGGCGCTCAGAACGTCTGTAGCTTGTTTAGTCTCGTACATAGCCCCTCATGACATCCCAATTCGGGAACCCTGTCATGAGGGGGTTCCCGAATTGGGATGTCATGAGGGGCTGTGTACGAGACTAGCTGTGTACGAGACTATAGCTTGTTCTTTTTTCATGCTACTGTAAAATAACGTGCGTGGACAATGTTCCTTCGAGCCAAAACCTTTGACGAGGGTACATTTCGCCTGCCTGATATTGGGGGCGCTAACAGTCGTTTCCAGATTTCCGTGCGAGACAGCGCCGCTAGACCCGCTTTGGCTTGACCTGACAACAGTAAGAAAATCTGCTTCGAGTACTCGGGGCCTTCAACCTCAGTTTCATTGACGCTTCATTCATTGGCTATCGTGTACAGCAAGCGTAACGTCGGCGAGAGGACAAAAAACAGGATTACGGGCTCATAACCGTTGATTCAACAAAAGTCAATAAAAGTGGCCTGGCCCCGAATCGAACGGGGGACCTCCGGCGAACAACATATATTTCCTGTTAAATTATCGCAGCGTAATACCACTTTACCACCAGGCCACAAGAGGGATTCCGGACAAAAGGAAACCCACGGAAAAAGAGATGCGAAGCTAGGTATGACCCGGGCCCGAATCGAACGAGCGACTCCCGCTGAAATCTCCTCAGTTGTGAATATGTAGCAGCAGCAGGCATGTACCATACACCACCGGGTCTTGCCTCCTCCCCATCTATAACGGAATAGAAGGGCAACAATGTGTCGGTCTGGACATCAAAAAAGTTGCCTTCCCCTAAATTTCTAATGACCCGGGCCTGAATCAAACGAGCGACTCCCGCTGGAACCTCTTTGGCCCTAGCAGCAGCAGGCATGTACCATACACCACCGGGCCTTGCCTGCTGCACATCTATAATGGAACAGAAGGGCAACGAGGTTTCGGTCTGGACATCAAAAAAGTTGCCTTCCCCTGGATTTCTAATGACCCGGGCCCGAATCGAACGAGCGACTCCCGCTGAAATCTCTTCGGTTGTGAATATGTAGCAGCAGCAGGCATGTACCATACACCACCGGGTCTTGCCTCCTCCCGATCTATAATGGAATAGAAGGGCAACGATGTTTTGAAATACGTGCACTGTCTCGCTATTCGGATTCACGACCGGTAACTTCCCATCATTCACGGACTATATCTGAATGACTTTGGATATGCTCCGTCACTATCTTCTTTGTCCTTTTCCAGCTTCAACTCGTCGATGACCATGGCCAAAGCCACGGCCTTCAAGTCATCCCGTAGGAATAACACATTCATCCTTAATGACGAGGACGTTTCGCGTGCGTTCCTGACCTTAGGTTCGACCTTCCGAGAGGAGGGGTCGAGGTGCTCCGATGCTAACTCTGGGCACTTGCCCTGCACTGGCCGCAGAAATGGTGGTACGAGCGTAAGAATTGATTGTTGGTCCCTATTTATGAAACAAATAATGATGTAAGCTAAATAGGGGTTAATGGAAAGAGTGCGAAGAAAATCTAAATAAAATGGAATTTCCACATGCCGGCCTGCCAGCTCCGCCACAGTGCGGGGGATTTAGATGTCGACCCGACATCAGTTTAGAAGGGAAGGACAAGGATGGCCGGATGACGATGGAGCAAGGAGGGAAAAGGCAAGAAAGAGATGTAACTAGATGTGAACGATGAGTGAATAATAAACGAATCAACGAGGAGATGATAACAAATCTGTAATCTTTTCCAAAATGCGAAAGAAAACCTTCCGAAGATGAGGCGAAGACGGAATATCGTAGCAAACATTTGATCCATTCATCGCGTCGATGAGACTGCGAAGCCGGTTACGAACGGGTGGGGAAATGAAGAGGAGTTCGAAGATGGTTAATGTGACGTGAGGCGACGAGTCCTCAAATGACGCGTCGGCTGGCGGTTTCGAATCGGGAAGGGGTACGTGAGCCGGAAGATAAATGGGAGGCGAAGGAAGGCGTTCAACGGGCGGAAAGTGCAGGGAATTCGATTCTAAGCTGCGCTCCGTGCTCGGAATATAACGGCGTTTAATGGCGGAAGGGCGCGGCGCGTGCGGGGAATTTAAATCTGTGTCACGGGATGTGCCGGGAGCGCAATGAGGAAGGTTCGCGCGCGGAACATGCGAGGGAATCGAATCCGCAGTGGGAACAGCGTTTGGAACGCGACGAGGCACGAATGCTGGCATGGCGTGGGGAGCGTGCGGAACGTGCGGGGGATTTGAATGAGAGCCGCCAGGTAATTTCGTAGCACTGCGAGGTGAGCCGCGAAGGGTGCAAGGACAAAGACGTCGTGGAGACATAAGATGAGCTGCCACCCCACCGGGATGCCGAGTCATGGGGAGTGGAGAGCCATCGAACGAAACTAGACGAAAGGTGGCGTCAAACTTCGCCAAACACTTGGAAAGGAGCTCGAAAGTTCGTGGGCAAAAACGGGGGTTAAGACGGTGCTTCCCCGTCCCACCACATACGAAACAGCGCCGCGAACGCTTCCGGCGAGGAGATGATGAAGGGGGAGACGAATTATGAACTGTGGAATGCGAAAGATGGGGTGTAGATGACGAATTAGACGAGACGCTCGCCTGCTCGGGGCGCGATGAGACGTGGGAATACGAAACGTGCGAGGAGGCGTTGGAACGCGCGACAAGCGAATGCGTGGACGAAATATGAGCCGTGGAATGCGAAATAGGAGGCGTAGACGACGACGCGAATGAACCGTTCGCCCGCTCGGGGCGTAAAGCGACGTGGGGAGGCGAAACGTGCGTGGGAGCGCAAGGACGCGTGACGAGTGGCGTAGGAGCGATACGGCGCGTGGGGTGCGGCGTAGAGACCGTCATAATGAGGGAGAGGGGTGAACGAAGGTAAAAATGACGACGGACCACTCGGAATACCCTAGAAAAACCCTAGAATAGCTTTTCCCCCTGCGGTGGTCACCACTGTAGTGGAGGGAATTGCCCGACGTGTGGTTCGTGGAAAGGGTCGGTGATCCGGAGTTGGTAGAGTAGATTTTTGAAATAAGATGCTGAGGTCGGTCCCGAGCCGTAGAGTGGGAAAATGGGAGGACGAGAGAGTACGAAAGTCCGAAAATGGGAGGAGAACAGGGTGAGATCGTGAGGCGTGATTCGGGGGTTCTGGTGGCTAAACAGCCCACTGGCGACCTTCCGAGAGGAGGGGTCGAGGTGCTCCGATGCTACCTCTGGCACTTGCCCTGCACTGGCCGCAGAAATGGTGGTACGAGCGTAAGAATTGAAGTCGGAGCAATTGACCCAGCAGGTTTTTGCGGACACGTGCTGATGCCAAGGGCACCCTAATTAGGAAGCTCCGGTGCATTTCGGATTGTTGTATAGTACCATGGTCTCCGGAGGGTGGAGGACTCTGCCAGCCGTGTTAGACTCCAAGAAATGATGGTTCCGAGAGGCGACATGATTTTTTTTGGGCCTAGATTCTTTAAAATTGAATAAATTGTACTTTGATGGACCCGGAGCCGCCGTCTACTGTGGTTAGCCCGTCGCCATGGCTTTCATCGGTATCTTAGCTCAGTTGATAGTCTGCCTATTATTATGTGCGATGCGCTTGTAGGCTGTCCTTCGTTCGACCCTGTCGCGTCGTGCGACCTTCGCCTTTTTCGGCGCTTGCGTGAGTTTCCGAAGTCAATCTCCCCGCTCATTTTACTTCCTCGACTAACAAAAAGTGCCGTAGCTCAACCAAGGATAATATTATACGGAGTATACTTTATCTAGCCAAGTCAGAATTGATACCCCATCGTGTTTAACACCCGCCGCTCATCTTCCCGGTCCCCGCTTTTAGCCCAGGTTGTCCCACGGTCGCGCCCTGTCCTTTCAAACTTTCGAATGTCATCCACCATTAGCCCGACATCAGCTCCGATGTTCCGCTTGACAAACCGTGACATCCATAATCTATTTCTGTGTGGGACTTGGGCGCGAAGAATAGCGGCGGCTTGTTCCAATTCATCTGCACGTTTCAAGATGTGGTGGGATCGCGATGATTGGACTTCCATGCGTAGAACGACCTAATGAGTCTGCGGCTATAAAGGCCGGTAACAGACCTGGGTAAAGTACCGTCATATCTCATGCGCGTAATCTCGTCTAATATTTCCAATTCTCTCAGTTCTTGTCTCAGATATCCAGACATGCCTGAAGTAATTTTCTTCTCATTGAAATCTTGGACAATGATAGTGCCACTGGCACTCGTACCTCGAGACAAAGCAACGTAGTAAGCTCTATGATCCTTACAGTTTGAAAGCTCAACGGGATTCTTAGGTCTCGATTTGCCCTGTGAAGTGTAATCTGTCATGCCGAAATTTAACAAGGCAACGACTTGCTCTCTCAAGACAGACAAGAGAGTATCATCGGGCAGCAGCACTGTGATATGGGTCACAGTTCTTATCAATGGTACGACGTTCAACGGCAGGCCCTCGATTTGGATATCCCGAGGCGGCCTGACCAACCTTACAAACAGTGTGTCCAGAACACGTTGACCATGCGGCCCTACGCTGTCGTCCCATCCGCAAACTACCGCCTCTTGGCCCTTCGTGATGCACAATTCCGTACCCTCGTTTGCCCTCAACATGACTGGCATTCCCATGCACAATGATAGTTTACCCGGTATAAATTCGTTCGTGGTGGATGGAGCCGGGTCTGGTAAAAATGACGCGGCTGCCGCGCATTGACGCGCACCGGCGCGGCGTTGACGCGGCACTGACGCGGCATTGACGCGGCAGTGACGCGCATTGACGCGGCGATCGGCGCGCCGCTTCTATTCTTTGAAGAACTACTCCCTGCATTTTAATTTGACTCTGAAAACCTTTTCTGAGTCTAAATACATGTTTCTGACCGAAAAAATCCAACCTCCACTTTTAAGACATCGGGTCAAACATCGAACCAGTACTCCATTTTACTCCTGGTTGCACCTTACCTTCGGGGTGGCCTCAATGTATTGTTGCCTCCATTTCTAACTGGCCAATGTATTCTAACACAAATGCATTTTCAGTCTGAAAGTCCGACTACAAGTATGTTTGAAGTATGTAATCTTTTATGGACAGCGACTTGCACTGGCCACAGACCTTACTCGATTTGTGTATCTCTACCATTTTTAAAGGATATTGGTTTAAAATTAATACATTCATCCATTCACAGCTTCTGAGGCCAATGGAGGTCGCTAGGCAGGGGTGTGCATGGTTTAGTTCACATCGGCATGCTTACATAAGGGGTCAATTGACGCGGCAGCGGCGCGCCGCCTTATTCAGTTCACACAGCATTCTCTTGGCCCCTTTACTCATCCCAGCAAGTTTTTACACCCTAAATACATCGTCTGGGACAAGGAAACCCATCCTTGATCTGCTATCTTCTGACCCAAATCCGACCAGATAATTGTGGGGGTGAATTGACGCGGCAGTAGCACACTACCCTTTACAACTTTCTCTGGGCCCTTTAACTCATCTTGGCAAGTTTACACCATCAATATATCGTCTTAGACAACAAGAAATATCCCTGATCTGCAGCCTTCCAACCGGATATTAGTGAGGGAGTGAATCAACAACGCGCTGCCTTTCGCAGCTCACGCAATGTTCTATTAGCTCCGAATCCCATCCTGGCTAGTTTTTGCATGCTCAATACATCGTTTGTGAGTTGTGACATAGAAACACATCCTTGACTGCTGCTACCTTTGGACAGGTTAAAAGTGACGGAAATTGATGTGGCAGGTCCCTAGCTTTTTAGAGCATTTCGGTGACCCTAGTGCCCATTTGCACATAATACTATACCCAAATGCATTGTTTGTACCAGAGAAATCTGCCATTCTTATTTCGTAAGTTTGACGAGGGGTTGCTTGACTCCACTCAACTTAAGATCACTTCGCGCAAGGTTGAATAGTCCCATACATAGTTTAGCCACTCTGAAAATCTAGTTAGTCAAATCTGCCTAAGTTGAGCTTTTGATTCTGATTATGGCCCCCATTGTTGGACTCCGCGATTTTTAGGTATGCACTGATGTTTCAAGCCTCAATAAGCCGAGGAGCCCGGCAAAGGAAGGTATG